GCTCAGTTAAGAATCTCCATAGGATCCTATAGGCCCCTCTAGTGGCAGTAACCATAAAATGCGACTTTATGACTTTTTTTCCACCAGATGCGTCAGAAAGACTCAGTGACCTCATTCCAAGTTCATCTGCAGGTTTTTGATGAAAAGGGACTGGAATTGTCTTTTTTTTTTCTTTTCTGAAATACTGTGACAAAATTGCTTATTTGCTCATATTTTCTTAGAAATATCCAGAATTTAAGGTACATAAAATAAAAATCACCAAAAAATAATAATAAAAAAATACATAAATACATAGATACATAATTCGAAAAAAAATTATAAAAATGGATCGAAATGAGCTTTCTGGACTAAAATAAAAATTAGTGTCATTTTAAGCTTTCGGGTCATTTTGACCCGCGAGGGACACTTTTGTTACAGGTATGGGAGGGACACACAAAGGTTAAGCAGCCTCCTAAGGTATAGTTCGGGGAACCCGCCTAGAACAGGTACACCTTTAGTTAAGGCATACCTTTAGAGTCTTCGTAGAGTGCTAAGAGACAGCGTTATCGGGAAACCCAGCCCTATAGTCAGTATGCTATTTTTGCAGAGTCAGAAATTGTTCTATTTAAAAAAAATAAAAATAAAAAACCTTTTTTCATTCGCTTTGCTCAATGTATGTTTCAACGTGCTCCTTTTGATTTCGTGAACTAGATATTTCATTTGGTCTCGGCCGGGTCTCATAGAGTTTATGTACAGGTGTAAATCAGCGTGGTCGTAGTTATAGCACAGTAGCATAAAGCCAGACAATAACTAATGCTCTACTTCTAGTGTTCATAAAGCAGAGTAAGAGAGAAATGTTAGACTTTTCAAGAAATTATTGTAAAGGTGATTCAAACAACAAACAATCCAACATGCAGAAAAGCATATATGGAGCTTTATGGAGCATCAAAATGATCAATGAAAATAAAGATTGTACTTACGAAGACCAATTTCTAGCCAACTTTTCCACGAATTTTTCAAACTTTATTAAAATACATGAATATTCCAGAAACTCTTGAAAATTTCTTGAAAATTCGCAACAAGAAGAATCATTGCTGAGAAATGCATTTCATACGGCTCCATAATCCGAAACTTAAATATCGAAATCGTATCAAAAGTGTATTATTAGGCTATTGGGGAAGACAGAGCAAGACGCTTCGGGATGACCCTGGTGATTCCCCTGCCTTTTAGCTCCGCCTACTGGCGCGTCAAGGTACTGGACTATTTAGCATTGAAATCACTTCAATCTATATTGAAATGTGTGTTGTCTCCTGTCAGTGGCAGCTGTCATTTTGTCTGTACATACATTTATAAGTGACTGATTTATTAATTTCATAGTTTGCTTATATTAATCAAGCCATTTTATTTAATGCCGTTTATTTTTGAATGACGATCTATCCATTCACTATAAGGAACATCTTGTGCTTGTAGATTTGTATTTGATTCATCTTATTAAGTTATATTCAGTGCTTAACATGTTTGGTCATTTTAGTATTACTACTCAAAAAAAAAACAAAAAAACAAATAGGCTAAATAGAGAAATTTGAGCAAAGATTAAACATGATCATGAGAATTTGAATGACAGCAAATGCTTCAATGAAATAAAGTGAATTTTCATGTCAAGTGTTCTGTGACTTCTGTCAACACTGGAGTAAAAGGCACAAATTGATAAACATAATGAAGGATGTCCCATTATGCACACCATAGTTGATAAGAGTGTGCCAGAGTGTAACCCTGGTGTGATAATAATCCCCTTATTTGAAATGTTTACATCACTGTGTATTTCCTCAAAATGGTGAGCATTCAAGTGCACTCATGCTGCGCTCACATCATAGCCTAATGGTCACATGACTTTCCCCCACCATGAGTCGTTCATTTTGAAGGAATCTTTGGTTTCAGGAGACCCGAGTGTTTTTTCTAATTTTTTTTATCAGTAACAACACACTACACAGACGGCCATATCATACAAGAACCGGATTAAAACAGCCTGCAATTTATCCTAAATCAATTCATTAGTTGAGTCAGTAGATCTCAAAACTTTTATATTCATTTCTGAAAGGCAAAAAAAAGAGATAACAGTTGTATGCACTGTTAACAGTTTAGTACTGGCTTTGAATATTAACTTTTAGTTTATTTGTTTGGTTGGTTTTGTTTCGTTTATGATAAGAATTTATGCACTCTCAGAAAATTAGGTGCAAAAGCTGTCACTGGGCCGGTACCTTTTGGAAATAATACACCTTAACTTAATTACCTCTATAAGGTGCACATTAGTAAATTAAAGGTACATAATAATACCTCAAGTGAATATGTTAGTATTTTTAATGGTACATATTAGTACCTCTCTTTTTTTGCACCGGTGAGTTTTTGTACTTTTTTTCCCCCCTAAGAGTGTGCGGCTGTCACGTGACGTGAATCATTACTCGTTTCTGTATGGAGTCGACATGCGCCTGCCACATGACAACCGAACGAAAGGCCAAGTCGAGTGGTGAGCTAATGGTTTCTGTTTCTCATAGTTTATCTATAAAGGCTGTATTATTACGATTTCATAGTTCGCATCATGTGATCCAAGTTTGCACAAATGGGCATGTATGACCGTTATGGGAAGGTTGTTTCTTCCATTTCAGGGACTTCTCTGATGTATATAATTTTGTTTAGATAGTAGATAGGGTCCTGGACAAGGGTAAAACAATCAAATCTACACACAAAATGCATTTCAAAACTCAGATGGGTCATGTAGGCTAACTGCATCTTCGGCTTCACTTGAGGACTCGTGACTGTAAAAGACATCAATGTAAATAGTTTTCACCACTGGAGGGCGCAAGGGTCAGCAATATGCAAAAACAAGTACGTTTAAGACCTTGCATGAAAGTGCATTTGGAGGACTCTGCTTTTTAGCGCCATGTGCATTCAGGAGATATTCAAGTACTTTCAAGAAGCGTGGGAACCCTGATCACAGTAATATTTACTGAAAATGCAAGATAATGTCATTTGTAGTAAGAGGCTGATATGATATTCAAACGAGTAAAATCTCATTTTGACAGAGATATAATACTTTATTGATATGTGTACATATTTGTCAGTGCCTTCAAAAATGTGTGCACAGAGGCAAATTATGTAGTTTCAACATCTCAGAAAGCCCATATGTTTTAGACAGGAACAGACAGAGCAAAAGAGAGATAGAGATGGCATGGTTATTTTCCTTTTTTGATTTCTAAATACATTAGACTAACATTTAATTACAGTCACAAAACAAATAAAAAACCTTGGAGTCTTCACAAGTTCTTTTAACAAATCATCACTGCTTCACCTGGGAAAAAAAAAAAATATCTATAGTTAAAAACACATTAAAGACTTAATGCAATCTAAATTGAAGCATGCATATAACACTAAGAACATGCAGTAAAAGTTACAAAAGGCATCATCTTACTTAAAATGTTCGGCACGTTATTTAGTAATATTTGTATTACCTTGAAGAAGCTGAGCACAGCGCTGTAGGTCAGAGAAAAGAGGAAGAGGAAGATAAATGAGGTGGCAGTGGACCAGAGACTTCTGAACTCATCCTCCTCCAGAACATCTCTATTGCAGTCCAGAGCAAAGCCTGTCTCTGGCTCAGGTGGCTCACCTAAAAAAGAAAACACATGTACAGGAGACATGTGTATGGTAAGCACATGGTGCAAAACATATGTGAGAACATGAATCGTGCATCCTGAATTAAAAGTCCAGTATTATTAGACTTCTAGTTAGTAACACTTAAGCACATGACAGCTTTATGTACTGCATACGTGTACTCACATACATTCATTTGCACACACAACTGAGTGTACACTGAAGAGACAAACATACAGTATATTATAGTCCAGTCTGTTAGACATTGATAGTGCATTAGAACATACACTTTATAAAACTATACAAACATTTATGGTATGCTTATCAAGTAACTTACTTTTTTCAGCTGACATACTAATAATACAAGTGCACATAAAAAATATCACATATACCATCTGTATGTTTTATTGATTGAAAAGGCCAATAATTCCTTGTGATTTTGATGGTTATCTTTAAAATTGAATAAGTGGCTTTTACTAGAGACAGAGACAAAAATTCTCATTTGTCTAAATACTTAAGAAGAAAAAAACGGGAGCAGAAAGTGAAGCACACCAAGTTTCTGATTAGAAAAACGATGTGAGAGCTGGACTAAATCATGCAAACAAATATTTATTGCTTGTAAAACAACACAAAAATGGCATGTTATATTATAGGCTAACAGCAGTACAGTGAGCACGGAACAAAACATAAAGAAGCTCTATGATATTGTTCTGACAATGTTTTCATGTGACCATATTTACTTACATGCAACATGTAAGTAAATATCAAATTAAACATATAGTCTTGAGTGTAATTTGACTTTGATGTTTGACCCATGCAGTAAAGTGATACAGACATAGAGACAGAAATATGCACAAAAAACATCAAAGATACTGTACATAATCTGACGAGACAGCAACAGGACAAAAGCACTGGAACACTGAACAACAGATGAACAATGATAGTTTGGAAATGCTTGCACATTAATCACATGAAAGTTCTGGCTGTTTACTTTGGCTTGTTGAAGCTTGTAATGGAGCACTTATATTGTCCATGTTGGCATGTTTGACTGCGCAGATGATGATGTTGTTATACTCTTCTTTTGTCATTGTTAGGATGCTGAGAACAGACGTGGAGTCCTTTTGATGGATGGGAGCACTGGTTGTGCCCTCTCTGTAAGGCTCTTTACCCACTCTCCACATGATATAGACATCGCCGAGTTTAAGACTGGTGACCTCACACACCAGAGAGACAGGATCTGTGACGTTACTATCGGGTTTGTAAATGGTAACACTTGGTTTCTTTTCATCTGAATTGGAGGAAGTGATAAAGCTTTATTAAACAAACAGAAAATCAGATAATAATATATAACAATAGTGTATCAAGGCAGTCTAATCTTTTTGACAGCGAAAGCCTTTCAAATGGTCTTGCAGGCAATACAATTTTTTTCCAGGCAATAAAATTGTTTACAACCTTTCAGCATCTATAACTGCACATAGAGCCACAAAGGTAATTATACGTTTTAGACTGACTTACCTCCTTTATGAAAACGGATCTTCTGCTCGATGTCTCCGTTATTATTTGTGTCACTGGTGGTGCAGGTGACCATTTCACCATCAAACCATTTCTTTGTGTCAACAGTGACATTGTGTTTTTTTATAAACTGTGAAATGTCATTAGAAAACTTGACTGTTCCTGGTCTCACATCGATTCTAGCTTCTTTCACGGAGCATGACACTGAAGCTTTTTCCACTGTATCTTTTATATCTCCAGAAACAACAGCTTCCAAGACAACTTCATTTTTTAAAAATATTTCTCTCTGAATTGGTGGCTTCAGTGTCAGTGCAAATTTAGCTACAAGGGAGTAAGAAAGTAAATATTTCTTCATCTGTAAATTTGGATTAATGTGTATATATGTGAACTGGGATTAGTTTGAAGGAGTGTATCTTTGTGTGAATTTGAAATAGAAATTAAAGCATGAACTAGAGACAGCAAATCGACATTCGATGACTTACCTTTGAAGTATGCTGTCGTGGTAAACGGTTTTCCCCGGTGTGTGACCTCACAGGTATACTGAGTATTCACATCCCAATTCTCTCTGCTGACTTCATAAAAACTGTATGCTGTATAATGACCTGTATCATTCAGTTTGCGTTCCAGTTTTAGCTGGCTCATGCTGTTGGTATTATTCACTTTCCATTGTACATCGATCTTCTTGGGATAGAAATCCTCAATGACACACATGACGGATGTACTTTTCAGAGTTGTTACAAGAACCAAGCTCAGGGTTGGTGTTTGTGGTTTCACTGTAATTAAAACAAAGTTTATGTACAATAAAAATATGTGAAGGACAACTGACATTTTGCAAACTTAATTTCACGGTGTACCTCAACAGTTTAATTTAACGTTCATCCTGTTAATGTCTGTTGTTACCTGTTGTGAATGTTTCTGTGACATTTCCTGATGGGTGTCCTGCTTCACATATAATTTTACTTTGATTCCATTCTGCTTCATTAATAGTTATATGGCTGACTTTCAACATCTTGTTTCCAGTTCCTACTGTGGGGTACTGGATGAAATTAGTCAAAGAATTTCCGCGCTGATCCATCCATTTGAAATTGACAGATTCAGCGGGTGAAAACCCAGTGGCCAAACAGCCAACAAGTAGGGAACCAGGTGAGGATTCACACGGAGACATCATAAACACATTTGGTGCTTTGGGAACTGAATCTGAAAGAGTGAAACCACACAAAACACGGGCTAGTATACACACACTGATGAAGCAAAATGCAGTGGACTTAATTGACCTAACAGTTGCTTCAGCAACCCCCAGATATTCTCCTAAAACATTTGTATGGCAATCACATACAGGCTGCATTAATAAATTAGTTATTCATATAAAACTACACATTAAAAAAAAGCTATGTGCATGTTTAATTTAGTCACAAATGAAACATTTTGATTAAATTGTTAGTAATAAAATAGCTGAATAATAAAACAGCCTATTAAAATCGAGGGGTCAAGACCTGTTTTGCTCATATTCAATAGTATGCTAATGGCACAGCTCCTCTGTCAATAATGTACCAACCTCCCCTCAGCACCAGCAATTAAAATTCTCCTGATTGAAACAATTGATCATAAACTGTCTAATCTATAGGCCTGCGTCAAAAATAGCCACTGACTATAATCCAATTAGGCTATGCGTTTTTATGCTAAAGCATCACAACCTTAATCATTAAGACCTACCCGTCAAAATATGGAAATAGGCTATTTTTACATTTAGTTAATATATCTAAATCCACAATTTTAACGTGCAAAACAATCAGTTTAGCAATAAAACAGACACTGCAACAAAATCTGGCTACTTTAATAGTGGTGTCGTTTCATGTCGTTTTCGAGAGCCAGTCCGCGAGCCTATGGCAGGCAGTCATTTTTCGGAATCGCACCGGTTCACTCAGACAGCACGATACCAATCAGAATCAATAGCCTATTCCATGCAAGTTCCGTTTATAATTAAAAATTAATTTTCCCTATGAAATTCCTGATGTAGAAGAAATAGCATTTACATTTAGCAGATGCGTTTGTATTAAAACGAAAACAGCAAAAACAGAACAAAAGCACGCACATAACTGGCAAAATGCTCAAGGGTGCTCGACAACGGAGAAGAAAAGACAAAAGTCGGCGCACCAAAGTCTGCGTGCTCGAAACGTCACCTGTGTGATAGTCCAGTATTCAAAATTTTTTTTTTTTTTGAGCTTTGGTGTGGCGACGTTTGTTCTGTTTTCTTATGAAAACACCCGATTTAGCACATTTATTTTTTAAAGTTAACAATTCAAATATGCACTATTTTCCCAGTGTTGTTTAAGCTTTTCACAAGGTTTCATGGTTCCAAGGTTGCACTATTTTTTAGATTGAGATTAATAGAGGGCAGCTTTGACAGGATTGATTCTGGTAATAAAACCTACTTGTTCTCTATAATGAAAGAAAACTTAATATATTCAAAAACGTGCGAAACAGACATAACAGGCCATATCCTATACTATGCCAAAACGAACAGTCGAATATTAAAATTGTCTGTCATATATATATAATTACACTGAAGATATGAAAACGAAAAATTTAGGAAAAAAGCGGCAAATCACTTACTAACTATATCACAGCGCTACATTATTTTATATCAGTTGTACAAAAGCCTAGTTCTGTTGAATATAAAAGGTTCCGCCTGACCATAATTAGTCTAGCGAGGCCAGGACCGAAATAAAGAAAACATATACACATTGAGTGTTCTGCTTTTACAGTAATAAATAATTTTATAGGCTAACTGTAGGACAGCTATGTGTCAAAATGAAAATAGACTGTCAGTAATTTATTAAGCACCCTCATATTTTTCTGCATTGATATAGATTCGCATTGCCTACTTGATGTGCGTTTACATTACTCTATAAAGTTCAAAGGTTTAAAAAATGAAACCCAGATAAGGTGTTTAAAGATTTAGCCAAATTTAATACACAGTCTAAATTAATGCAACATCAAAATAATCCAAGGTCGTTTCTAAAAAACAATAGGCCTAGAGATACCGACATCATGGGAATAGACAGGATAATCTAACATTAATATAAAGCACGTTTTGTTTGCAGACTAGTAGCTACGGTATGTGTTTTTATTTTTTATTTTTTTAATTGCAAGTATATAAGCTACAAAATTTTTGAAGTAAAAGAAGTAAAGAACTTACTTGTGACGATCACTTGTGTGCCTTTACCCCAGTAGTCAAAGCATCACAGTGCGACCTTATACATTCTCTGATGTGCGAAAACCTTGACGTTCTGAATTGAAGAGCACTTTAAGAGCTGAACATGTTATTTCTAGTATTTCTCACGCACTCACGCAAATTCAGAAGTAGTTACATTTTTCAAATACTAATTCTATCTGTCGAGGATAAATGTATGTGCATAAATTACATAAAATATTTACGTGTGTTTAAATGTATTTTAAAAGTATTTTACAAAAAAAAAAAAAATATATATATATATAAATATATATACACAGTATATATATATATAACTAGTCGCTGGCATCTTGAGTCTAATTTGTGCAGCTCTTACACTAGAGAAATACAAAATTATATCCTAATGAGTTGTTAATTAGTAAAATAAATAATAATTTAAGTAATCAAGTAAATCTTGTTTCAGGGATTTTTAGAACATTCGAGTTGAAAAATAAGACGAGATTTTAAGATTAATATATTTTGTGCGTGTGATTAGCCTCCTTAAGATTAGTATTTTACACACACATAAAACACACACACACACACACACTGGTTTTCATATTTTGTGGGGACATTCCATAGGCGTAATGGTCTTTATACTGTAAAAAACTGTACTTTCTATCCCCTTACTTTAACCCTACCCTGGAACCTACCCCTCACACAAAACTTCTCTATTATTTATAGGCTTGTTTCTTCATGGGGACCAAAAAAAAAAAAAAAAAAAAAAAAAAAAAAAAAAAAAA